ATAAAGATGTATGAGACGTATTGTTTAAAGATAAATTACTCTTTTTGTTGACCCTGAACTGAAAGGCTTAACTCCTTTTATAAGCATTTTTAAATCACGCACGAGCATATTCTGATATTTTCTCGAAAAGCAAAATCGTGCAGTTATGATATATATATTTATTAAATGCACATGTTCGTCCGTTTTTAATTTGCTGGTGTAGCTTTCGTTTCAAATCAGTTGCGTCCAGAATTGCACGGGGAAATGAAACAATTTAATAACAATTCTATTAAAATATCAAATTAAATACATTAATTGTAACAATATGTGAATTTCTATTTTGTTGACTTATATAATGTGACTTGTTATCACAATTTCTTTTTAATTTTTTTATGAAGTGCAAATCAGATGCTTTGCTAAACCATTCATAGGGTAGAAAAGGCAAGGATATAAACTGTAGAGATAGAAAACACCGTCTCTAAGGAAGACACTTCAAAAAAAAAAAAAAAAAGTAATCATTCATACGTTTAAAAAAAAAAAAAAAAAAAAAAAACTGAAAAATTTTAGATTTTAAACTACGTACAAAGGGACGTTTTTTAACGTTTTGTGGGTTATTTATTAAATATCATGTTCTTTGCACTTAAACAATAAAATTCAGTTCAGTAGCAATGTCGCAAAATAATTTCAAAATGAGCCTATCTTTAGAATTTCCGATACGCAATTTCGCGCCCGCTGGAGATAAAAAGATTTTTTTCCCTCGCCGTAGAGTGTTGCCACTCCTCTCTTTGAAATCTTTGAGTTTTTTACTCAAAAATTCGTTAAAATTTACAAAATATGATATCGATGATAAAACAAATTCCAAATTTCAAATTTGGTCATCCACATGCCCATATTCGTAGGAGGATTACGTCATTCAAAATTCGATGACTCTAGGTACCGTTGTTTTATCACAATGAGAGAAATATACATTCATTTATGCATATTTTGCATTATTTAATTTTTTCAAATATAATGCAGGACTCTAACATTGGGTGGCAACAGTTTGAAAAGTGAAACGGACATTTATAGTGATTCAAATGCAGAATCGCAAAACGAAAACAATAGTGCTTCAGGGACAAAGCCCCTTTGGACTAATAACAAGAACAAAATATCAAGGAACCGTTATGAATACAAAAATCTGGAACCTTCTCGAGCACCTTCATTCCTTCCTCGCTCTCTGAAAGACATGCGTAATTTTAAGCCTTAACTAAATAAAGAAAAAGAAAAAGACTAGAAAGATGCGCCTTTGGAACAACCATTAGTGAATCTCAAAATTCGGCTCAAGACGGCCGTGTGGGACTCAAAAACTCAAATTAAATCTTTTCTCTCCGACATAAGGTGAGAGTGGCTCTGTTTTAAACTCGTGGAGTGGGCCAATAAGGAAGGACCTTTCGTTTCCATGGCGACAAGAACTCTACAGGTGCCCGGGTAAAACAGGTAGAGAAGGACGCGGGAGAGGGCCTGTACCTTACCCGATAGTAAGTTATCTCCTTTTCCCACTAAAATCGATTCTGGAACGCCTGTTAAAAGATTTTGTCCGAAACAGCATTAAAGTTCTAAGCTTTAAGCTTTCAATTGTCTTTTTCCTAATCCGGACATTGAAATAAGACTGTGGGCGGTAAGGAAAAGGCGGAATTAGGAGGGGGAAAAAATGAACTGCTTCGCTAGAAAAGCAGACACTGGAAATTTTATTTCTCATTCTTAAGAGTCTAATTGCATTTACGTGAAGGGTATTTTAAATTAGGATCTATTTTTGAATACGTAATCTTACGGAGAAACACACAAACAAAATTTCAATAATCGAAGTTAATGTTTGAATTTAAAGAAAGGTATTCAGGGCATTGAATGAAAGGTATAAGCATTGAATGAAAGCTTTCATTTTTACATAAATTTAAATGGAATGATATAGAAAACATTTGGATATATCTTTTATCGAATGAGGAATAAGCTAGTTATGTCAATGGCAATGCATATATATTATTACTAAAATAACTAATAAACCTCCATAAATAATCATTCTCGGAAAGGATTTCCATAAGATGTTCTTAATGTTCCATTATAAAATGTTTGAAACCACTTTTATTATATTAAATGTAAAGTCCGTGTGGGCGGCAGAAGTTAAATCTATGGGGGCTTCTGGATTTAGAAAGACATTTTAATGGACCAGAACGCACATCAAGTACACATACTACCCATTATCGCCTTGTAGCCAAGATTATGAATGCGCGCAAAAAAGAAATAGAATAAGAGAAAACTGCTGATAGAAAATTGTTGACGTCTTAATCTGCTTTTGAATTTTCATTCCCGTTGCCAACTCTGAAAGATATGCTTAAATGATTCTAAATATGATCACACTACATATTACTTTGATTGATTACTTGGACGATTATTTAACTTCATGTCAATTCCTACATCCGGTCGCCATGCCATTGTTCGCCGCTTTTTCCGATCGCACAGACTGTCTTTGACCATCGATACACGGACTTCCATCATCGATAAGCAAGTGGGCGTTGTTTATCGATCACGAAGTTTTTAAAGTAAATGAAATTCAATGATTATTTACCTCGAGTGCTTTACCATAGGTAATATTATTTTAAATTATACATATACAATCGCCAAATTCTAATATCTATTTTATAATCATGCATTATTTCTGCTTAGACAACAATACAGACATTAGTTTTCATTATTTTTTAGACTCATTACATACACAATGAGATACATTCCGCAAGAGAATGACCTGCTTTTTTGCATTAGCTCTACATAAGTCACGTGATCTCTGAGGTCATCTGCATTGTTTGTGGACAAAAGGTTTACATAAGTCACGTGATCAATGAGGTCATCGGAATGTATCTCATTGCTATTTTTTTAATTAACAAGAGAACTAAACTAAGCATGCCAATACTTTGGATCATTTTATCGGCAATATGAGGCAGTTCTTGCTTATTTAAGACCTTTATAAAAGTCTCACGATGAATTAACTCGAATAATGGAAACAATCTTGACTGTGCCATAGAGGTTTATTTTCATTGCGTGCGGTCTTGTATATAACAAGAAAAAAAAAATAAATATGACGGTAGGTCGTTTTGCTTTCTGCAATAGTTTCTATATACAACCTTATCACAATTCCGCATAAAACATAAACGAAGCATCCAGACTACTTCATAAACGATTACAAACTATCAGCTAATCCTCACCAATGGTGAAAGGATAGTCTGTGCCATCAAAATGCAGTGACCTCGACGCGTTCTGGTGTTTCTTTCGCACCGAAAGATTCGGCATTTACAAACTAGATAAGGACTTCATGCAAAAGCAAGAGGAAACTCATGGCCGGCTTTTTCACAGTTATTCGCTTTGCTGCCATCATCATCCATACTGTCTTCACTATGATCAGCTCCGTCCAATTTTTATAGTCATCTTCATTCATATACTATCCATCTCCTCATCATTATCATTCTTATCATCTTCATCTCATCGCTATTAACATTCATACACTCATTACTTTCATCTCATCTTCGTTATCATTCATATAATCTTGATCTAATCGTCATCTCATCGTCATTAGTATCTACTATACCGGCTTTGTCTTTACCGTTATCTCTACATATAATGAAAGAAAGAGTCTGTGTGTGTCTTTCGTTCGTGCTGCAATAGCTAATAGACTCAGGGCTACGAAATTTGGTACATAGGTGCATCTAGACAAGAGCCAGCGCGCCTCGAAGCGATTTTTTCAAAATTCGAACGAATCAGAAATGTATTTCATACATTTGCCGGTTTGTCATTTGGTATTGTATAGATTACCTAGGAAATGTGTGAAATATGAATCGTTTTATACATTGTCGGCTACTTTTAGGCATTATATATAATGCCGGATTTCAAACTTTCCTGCTAACATATTTGTTAAAATCATATCTACACCTGTAGAGTTATTAGGTTAATTTTAAAGCAGGAGTGATGAAAAATGAGCAACGCCCTCGTCGGAATCGAACCATGGACCTCTGGAATACGCGCCCAGCCTGCTGACCGCTACACTACGAAGGCATGCTAAGAAGGCGGGAGAAAACCATTCAATAATGTAAGAAAACAAAATATTCTAAATAGAAACTAACTTGTTCCAAGAGACAGAAACCTCACGATCGGGTAAAGGCGGCCATAAAAGCCTCTCTCTTGTGCGGTTGATATGAAAGTGATTAAAAATAATTAAATAGTCTGCATACCTCCTCTTAGAATAAAATATAAAAGAATACGTATAAAAGCTTTTATAATATAAAAGTTGAGGAATAAATGATGACTATTTTATTACACTTTCTAAATATTAGTCTGATTTTATAAGGTATTTCTCCCACCTTCTTTGCATGCCTTCGTGGTATAGTGGTCAGCACGCTCGACGCGTATTCGAGAGATCCGTGGGTCGAGTCTCGGAGAGAGGGCATTGCTCATTTTTTTTAATCTTTCCTGCTTCCAAAATACCTAATGTCTCCACAGTGGCGCCCGAACTAATAGGTGGTGAATGATGATTGTTCACCACCAGGATTTGGCGATTGGGTTCCCTAAAATTCCAATCGCCCATCAAAATGCTTTTCTCCCGCGCCTTCTTTGCATGCCTTCGTGGTGTAGTGGTCAGCACGCTCGACGCGTATGTGAGAGGTCTGTGGTTCGAATCCCGGCGAGGGCATTGCTCATTTTTCATCTCTCTTACTTCCAAAATACCTAATGTCTCTACAAGATGACTAAAAAGGAATTGTTGGGTCACATTTGGGTTTATTGGACTAAGTCGTTGAACACTGATAGTTCGGTCCGAGGTTCGAATCCTGCGAACGAGCTGGCTGTATGGGCGTTTTCATGGTTTTCTCCATGTTTAACGTGTATACGAACCAGTTTTCCTTAAGTCCTCCACGAAGGTATCCCCCCTGCTTAGGCAGATAGCCCTTGAGGCTTTGCCATTATCATGTACGTAAACCAAATCGGCGAAAAGGACTTACCTGATGTCTTGTGCAAGGGTGAATCAGTGGCGTCGGAAGGAATCTGCGTAAATCCCGGAATGGGTTGTGACGTGAGATGATAGACGCCTTGAAGTACGTCTGCTGCATGCATGCGGTTGTGATCTGAAATAAATGACATTTTTAATTTCACGAAAGTTGTAAAGTTACATTATTTTCTCTAGAAATAATTTATTTATTCTTATTTGCTTTACTTAGGCTTTTATTCGTTGTTTTCATGACCTTGAACCTCAAGCGGAGAAACAAATTATTTTAGGGTAAATGGAAGTTTTAAAAGTACCATCTCAAAAATACTTAGACTATAAAATACAATAAAATAATATTTTCTTAACGTAGAAAGTATTAGTTAAAACTTTAACCCTTTGGGCGGAGTGATTTCGCTAAGAAAGCACAAATTTCCCAAAACTACTATGAGAACAAATTATTTTTTTCGATTTTAATGTAAATTTAATTATAATAATAATAAATTTAATAAATAATAAAATGAAATAAATTAAATAATAATAAACTGGTATTTCATACCTGGATTTGTTTTCTTTTGATATATTGCCTTAATTTCGTTGACATATTTTAATGTGCACGTATATATACGCTCTTACAGATATCGCAATAAATATTCTAAGCCGTATATATACGGCCTTGCCGCTCAGAGGGTTTTAATGAAGAAAAAGCTTGAATAAAAAGAGAAATTACATTGGGTATTTCGCTTTATGGATTTTGCACAGTGTAAAATTTAACACGTTCTTCTTTTAGTCATTTACATTCACATTTCCAGTTAACACCTTTTTTAGCAACTTGAAAGCTTAACAGTCATTCTATTAACTGAAATATCTCACTAAATATTTAAACAAGAGTGGGAAATATTCCTCAAGAAATAAGAATTATTCTTCTAATTAAAAAAATAATAATAAACCAATTGTTATTCTCTAATTTTTCTTTACCATATACAAAACTGCCTCTTTCATATAAGAAATTTATAAAATATCTTACGAGTATGGCATATTAAACGTCAAGCAAATCAGCAAGCTTTCAAATTACTCATTAAGAAACATGAAAATCGCATTTGAATGAAGTAAACTTACGATCAACCTTATTGGTCTGCTAACCATATATTTAGCCTTTCTTTAATTTTTTTAAAAATTTTTCGAAATTTTGAGGCAGGGTAAGTTAGAAATATTTCTACGTTCAGTATCATTATTAATATATTTTCTTTGGACTAATTAGCTTGAAATACGTATATTGCAATTTTAGTAAAACAAATTTGTTTTGAAAATTATGTGAACTACAAGGCATTTTTCATTTTAGAACTCGTTCTAATAACAGTTTATAAGGTGTTTTTCTCCCTTCTTTCGGCATGTCTACGTAGTGTAACGGTAGCACACTCGGTGTGTATTTGAGAGGTTCAGGTGTATCTAATTTGCCTTGTACTGCTGCGTCAATATAACCTAATGAATCTACTATGGCCCCCAAACTAAAACATAGGGCGGTGGATGGGGATTTTTCACCACCAGGATTTGGCGACCGAGTTCCGTAAACGCCGCTCGCCCTTTAAAAGGGGGAATATATAAGGTATTTTCTTCTTCCTTTCCAGTTGGCTAACCAGCGGCCGAGCAGTAAAGACGCTGAACACTGGTAGTTCGGTCCGAGGTTTGAATCCCGCGAGCGGGCTGGCTTTATGGGCGTTTTTGTGGTTTTTCCCATATGTAACGTGTATACGAGACAGTATCCCCTAGAAACTGCTCCATGAAGGCATCCCTCCCTTTAGGCAGATAGCTCTCGTGTGATTTAACCATTATTAAATAATCCAAATCCTTCCTTCCAGCAAGTCTTCATGATGCAACGGTTAGCACACTCAGCGCGTATTCGAGAGGTCCAGGGTTCGAATCCCGGCGAGGGCATTGCTCATTTTTTCACATTTCCTGATTTTAAAAATCCTAATAACGCTATAGATATTATTGAAAAAATATCTCAATGTTTCTATTACTATTCAAGAAATGGAATATATTTCTAGCTTAAACATACATATATTTTATGCAATTTCATATATGTTTGTAAATTCATAAAATGTAATTATTTATATTATTTTATAAATTCTTAGAAATTTTTTGTTCAACGGAAAAATGATTTTTTTTCATTTAGCTTCCAAATTTAAACTTTATTCTCAGAAGTAATATTATATATGAATTATTTTATAAATTATCAGATTTTTTTTTTATTCAATGGAAAAATTTAATTTTTTCCACTTAGTTCGCAAACTCATTAAAATTTTAAAATTTTCTTCTCCAAAATAATCAATCTAACTGCAATGGAAATTAAACAATTCATTTTATAAACAATATTTAGTACTAACAAATCAACACCTAACATACGCTTTTACATGATAAATATTCGCAGGAAAATAATATCTAGATAATTTTGTAATCAAAGCTGAAAACACAATATAAATCCTTGCAATACGCTTTGAAATAGCAAGCAGAATTGAGATATTCTTTAATACATATTTTGAGCTAGAAACTTATAATTAATACTGGACCCACGCATATCAGCTTAAGAATATGATCTTCCTGTTGATCCTTCAGAGCTTAGGACCATGTTTTTGAAAGTTAATCAGTAATTCTTGAAACCCGATATTTTAAGAATTATCTAACCGTGATTTCAAAATCCTACGCGTTTTTTTAAAAGTGGATGAAAACATCTACCTTTCATTTATAATTTTCTGAAAATAAATCTCTATAGGAAGAACCGGTATTCTAATATTTGATTAATTTAGAATCATATTTGCTTTACAGACTACGATGTAATTATATTGGCCTTTCATAATTACTATAAATAAAATGCTAATATTACTTCTTATATTAGTTATAATAATATACTGTAATTAATAAATGATTCTTACTACTTACGAGTAAATTTATTAAGAGCTGCTGTTTCAAAAGGAAAATTCTACAAATGTTTACAGCCATTTCTATGCTTTATTGGTAAACAATTTTATTTTACGCCCATTCGGGCTTTTTTACTTCCTTGTACGAAGTAAAAAGGAAGTATTGTAATCGCGAAAAGTTTCAGGCAGCATATTTCAACGAAAATATGCATTTTGACCGCTATCGAGTGCAATTTAACGATGTTTTTGCGTGATATCTGTACCTAAGGACAGAATAAAAGACTCTTTTCCTCCAAAAAAAATTGTAAAACTGCTTTAAAATGAATTCTGAAGAGAGAGTTTTTCGAGTTGTCTGTACCTACGTATTATGTACGTACGTATGTATCTCGCATGACTCAAAAACGAGTAGCCTCAGAACGTTCAAATTTTGTATATAGGACTTCTATAACATGTAGATGTGCATCTCGTATTTGTTTTTGCAATCGGCCGCACCAAACGTATATATATATCCACTCTGTTACCCGGCTCAGTGATCTCAGTTTCTTTCCTCTTATATGTTTGAAAATTGTACATTTTTTGCTTTAGAAATGAGAATTATGTTGTTCTTATTTTCCGTTAAATTTTTTCTGCCTTTAGTAAATCTGTGTGCTATATTTTTAGAATTATCACAATTTTTTAAGTTGTTAAGTGCCGCTAAAGCCTAATAATGTTTGATGCGGCCATTGCTTTTACATTTGAAACAGCATAAATATGGATTTTGCCACTGTAGAGAAACTTAGCTTCGCAACAACAAAGATAACGCATCTTTATTCTTGCGAATTAAATCATGCTTATCCTTTGGAATGTTTCGAGGAAATAAATGTTTAAGATTTACTTCGTAATTTTTATACAGATATTTTGAATTTTTAGTATTTTGCCTTGTCGCGAAGTGAGAACTGAATTAATTGAATGAGAATACTCAGTCGTCTGTGAAAAAAACTGTTACTTTTGTTTTGTTTGCTTAATTTCTTTTATACATCGTTCTAGCTTTTTATAGTATTTAACAGAACATGTGGCACGATTAGATTTCTTTAACGATTAATTTTGTGCATTCTGAGTTTATTATGAACGAAAATATACTGTTAAGTGATATAGCGCCAGAGTGTCGCTATGGTAAATAATAGAGTGAATTTTAAAGAATGCGTATTTCTATTGTGATTATGCGCTTTCGGCGGAGTAGATTAGTTTAATCCAATAAGTTAAACGAAATCAGAAAAAATCGTAATTTATATCCGTACAGGAAGTTATGTGGTGTACACATCAGATTTTTTTAATTTACAGACACATACACAATTCGAGAGCATTTGGGCTAACGCCACATTGCACTCAAAATATTTAAAAACCGCATATCTGTAGAATGTCCGATAGACAGTCTCGTGCTCTGGAGATAGAAATGTTTTATTCCCTAGAATGTTGCCACAGATCACTTTGAAATAGTTGAGTTTTTTAATAAAAAAATTCGTTGACGTTTTATAACATATAAAATAGACGATAAAACAAATTCCAAATTCGGGCTTTCAGGTGCTCCTGTTCGGGTGGAGGACTATGCTGTGCAAAATACGGTGACTCTAGATGCAGTGCGAAAAAAAAAAAAAAATGTACAGTTCCCTCCTTCTACTGGGGCGATTCATAAAATTCAAATTGCGTTTTTCATATCTCGGAAACACGACTTAGGCTGTATATAAATTTAATATACCGTATATTAGATTTTTATACAGCTTTGTTCTAATGTAGGTATTTTGACTCAAAATTGGATTTTTTCTGAAATGATATGCCAATTTTTGCTTATTTCGATTCTACGTCTCAAATTATGCCTAAATATTAAATTTTGTAGTTTTTGGTGAGAAATTAATGAAGAAATTAATTCACTTGTCGAGAAAGATGTCACTTTTATACGTTCGAATAAATTAAGTGGGTAAACCACATTTGGCATTATTACCGCTTACAACGAATATGCCAATTTTCAAAACGCACCAATATGTACATTCACATATATCTTAGAAAAATTTCGAATAAAATACTCCAATTTTTTTGCAGGTGTGGCTAGAAATACATCTACTTTAACATAAAGGTAAAATTTTATAGTTTATAATTGAAATTTTTTTTTGAAAAATTAAAAAAAAAATAGAATTGAAGCGAAACACGCCAATGCGACAATCAAAATCGCAATAACAATCTTGTATTT